AGGGTTTAGGGTTTAGGGCCGTCCGTCTGTTCGAGTTGTATAGATGCCAGGCTCTCCTGCAGCTTCGTTCCTGGGAGAATCCGCGGCCTTGTGCGACATGTCCATGTGTCTCTCGGTCGCCCTTCTCAGCGGCCGCGAAATCCACATTGAGATGGCACCCGAGTCCTCGGTTGAAGAGCTGAGACTCTGTGCACAGACTGCTCTGCGCACAAAGGGAAGGCTGAGGATTTTGGAGTCTGGAGCGGAGATCGAAGGAGAGATGAGTCTGTCCCAGGCCGGCCTCCAAACCGGGGACCGGCTGATGCTCTATACGAGGCCTGCGGCCGTTGCAGCAACGCAGCACGCCTTTGCGGCCATCGAGGGAGATGGGTCAGTGGTGACGTGGGGAAACCCCAAATTTGGCGGAGACTGCAGCGAAGTTCAGGAGAAGCTTAGGAATGTCCAATGTATTCAAGCTACTGATGCCGCCTTTGCGGCTCTCCTTGCTGATGGCTCTGTGGTAGCTTGGGGCCGTGAGAAGGGTGGCATCGATAAGGGAAGCGCAGTAGAGTGCATCCAGTCCACAGAAACAGCTTTTGCAGCTCTCCACAGCGATGGATCACTTGATGTCTGGGGAGTCTTGGAGGGAGCCGGGGCACTGGCACACTACCGTGGCATTCTCCGTGCTTTTGCCAATGTGTCCTGCGTCCAAAGCAACTTGGAGCTACACTGCTGAACTGCCTTTGAGTGTGCTAAGGTTTATCAGCGTAACTCGTACATATTTTCAAGGTTAGGCTTCATCTCGCATGAAGTTCGCAGGTAACGGGGCCACCTTTGCAGCCCTCTTGCGTGACGGAAGCGTTCGGACCGTGGGGGCCTTCGCGAGTGGTGCAGACATCAGCGATGTGCAGACCCATCTCCACAGCGTGCGGCACCTGCAGTCCACTGGACCTTCAGATGCTTTTGTAACTTTTGCTTTAGCGTTGGCCCGCCCTCAACTCAGCCTATAGCCTAGCACTGCGTCTGGCCCAAACATGCCCAAACAGACAGGAGCTGCTTTCGCCGCCATCCTGGAAACCGGTGCCGTGGTCTGTTGGGGGGAAGCTGGGTGCGGAGGAGACTGCCGGGAAGTAGAGGAGCAGCTGACGGCGGTGAAGGCGATCCAAAGCACCGGATCCGCCTTCGCGGCGATTCTGGCTGATGGCCGTGTGGTGACCTGGGGATTCCCGGGGGAAGGCTGTCTGGTGCTTAGTAGGGAATGGGGGAATGGGTTATAGGGACTACTATAAGGGACCTTAAGGGACCATCATAGGGATCCATTCCCAAATTCCTTACTAAACCCTAAACCCTAAACCCTAAACCCTAAGCACCAGACAGAAGGTGGCGACAGCCGGGGTGTTTCGGAGCAGCTGTGGGATGTCCGGAGCATTCAGGCGACCCGCTCGGCCTTTGCTGCGATTCGTGGAGACGGCTCCGTCGTATCTTGGGGGGACCTTCGTTCTGGAGGTGACAGCCGCGCTGTCGCGGAGAAGCTGAGACAGGTGGAAAAGATCCAAAGTACGGATTCTGCCTTTGCCGCCGTCTGTCTCGATGGAACTGTGGTGACCTGGGGCTCACCTGCTGCCGGTGGTGACAGCAGCGAGGTTCAGGAAAGGCTGAGAGGAGTCGAGCAGATCCAGGCCACTTGCTCTGCCTTCGCCGCGCTGCTGGCGGATGCCTCCGTGGTCTCTTGGGGCAGCCCCGGAAGTGGTGGAGACAGCAGTGCCGTGGCCTTGCAGCTGAGGGAGGTCTACCAGATCCAGGCCAGCAGCAAGGCCTTCGCCGCGGTGCGTCGCGACGGATCGGTGGTGACGTGGGGAAGCTTCTGAAAGTCTTGAGATGAGCTCTTCTGTCTGGTGCTTAGTAGGGAATGGGGGAATGGGTTGTAGGGACTACTATAAGGGACCTGAAGGGACTATCATAGGGATCCATTCCCCCATTCCCTACTAAGCACCAGACAGTCTTGGGGGGCCCTCATTTCGGGGGATTTGGGGGTATCCCGGAGAGGTCAAAGCCAAGTTACTTGGGATATGATGCGAAACTCTAACTACCATAAGTTACTTGGAGGATCATGGGACTTAGTAAGTAAGGTTATAAGTACCCCTCATTGGGGTTATATTTATTGGGGTTATATTTATAGTTACCTTATTTATAACCCTAGTTACTAGGTCCCATGATCCTCCAAGTATCCTAAACCCTAAACCCTAAACCCTAAACCCTAAACCCTAAACCCTAATTGAACCATTCAGAGGCCACGCCGGCCACAAATAGAGTAAGTGCGAGGCTTTCGGTCTGCTTCGCATTCAGGCCTAGGTTCCTGAGTAGTACCCTTGTGCCCTTTTAAGGTTTAGGGTTTAGGGTTTAGGGTTTAGGGTTTAGGGTTTATAAAAACTGAGTAGCAGGAAAAAGGGTACCCTTATTATAAGGGGGTCACTCAGGAACCCAGAGACTTCTGTCCTACTTGCTTCAAGGTGGGTCTAGGTCTAGGCCCAGGCCTCTCCGAGCTCTCGACTTGTAATCATTGTCAGGCTTTTTCCTGACCCTAAACCCTAAAC